TCATTTTAGGCCCATAAAAGATGTCGTTATTTATGGACCATGAGGCATGAGCCCACTCCTCAACACCAGTGGCGAAAGAGCCTCTAAACAAAACGCCGCAGGAGATATTTCCGTTTTTTCTAAGGAGCAAAGCCCTCCAGCCGTTAAAATCAGTTGGTCTCCTCCCTCCGAGCACAGCTTATGGCTGCTACCCTTCTTGTTCGCTAAATACAATTCAAGCTCTCGTCTTTTTCTTCTTTCGCAGCTTAACAATGGCTTCCACTCTCTCACTCTCCATTTACTCCTTGCAAACAAACCCATCTCCTGAATTGCCAAAACTCACCAGAACCCATAAGTTCTCAGTTCGTGCTCCGACCGTCCCCAAATCGTCCCCTCACAAAAATCTTAGCACTTCGCTCGAACCCTCACCACAAAAGCAGCAGAAATCTAGACCCTTTCCCTCTCCAGAACAAAGGGTTGAACTTCCTGACTCGGACCCGCCTTTCTCTGGTTCATTTTCGTTACTCACTCGTCGTTTGAGGTACGGTACTCCTGTGATTTGTGACGGTGGAGGGTACATTAATATTGCGTTTGGGGTTCTCCTAGTATTTGAAATTGTTTTGACATTTTGCAGAGATGGGTTCAGATTTGATGAGCTGGGATTCGAGATTTTGTCAATTGCATTGCCTGCTGCTCTTGCTTTGGCTGCTGACCCTATAGCGTCACTGGTCGATACAGCCTTTATTGGTCATCTCGGTAATTTGGGTTTATTCTCTTTGAAGCAATTATTGGCGTAATTTGGGTTTTAAACTAACTTAGCGTCTTTGATGTTACTTAGTAAGTGTTCTGTCTCCTTGTTGAGCTAAACTGATTTAATAATTTGAGAAGGTCTATCCCCATTTTATAGCCCATTATAAGATTACTATAAAATAATAATCATACTAATAATAATAATAATGATTTCTTCATTAATTTTTTGTGGTGTAGGATCTGTTGAATTGGCAGCAGTAGGAGTATCAATTTCAATATTCAATCTGGTGTCAAAATTGTTCAATGTTCCATTGCTCAACATCACAACATCATTTGTTGCTGAAGAGCAGGCATTAGTTAGCAAGCGTGGCAAAGGTAAAAACCTATGCTTTTTATGGTAATTCTGATACTATAATGTTAATACCTAGTATAAGTCTTTGATTAAGTGTGGCAAAATGATGACTTTTTTTTTTTTTTAACCCCTCTTTTGATTATTAAAGATCATGAATTTGAGGGTCAAGGAAAGAAAGTTCTCCCCTCAGTGTCCACCTCTTTGGCACTTGCTGCTAGCCTTGGCTTTGCAGAAGCTGTTGCACTCTCTGTTGGCGCGAGTTTCTTAATGAATATCATGGGCATTCCTGTTGTATGTAAGACTTAGCTAATTATGAATTTAGATGGCTAATGTTCTATTTTATCAAACCCGTTTTTTCCTTTTGTTACACGTGTTAAATAAACCAGCCCTGCCAATATATCACGTTTTATAGGTGATCAGTTGATAATTTAATTAAACTCCAGGCTAGTGAACCTTATGACTAACAGTAGTTTTGATTGAGGATGCTTTCTAGACTTATTGTCTGAGTTTTCTTATTCTATAGGATTCACCAATGCGAATACCGGCTGAAAATTTTCTCACTTTAAGGGCCTTCGGTTCCCCAGCCATTGTAATTGCACTTGCTGCACAAGGTGCATTCCGTGGATTTAAGGATACCAAGACACCTTTGTATGCAATTGGCAAGTATTGACTCATACCCTCTGTTGTTTTTCAATTAATTTATTTGGTTTGGACTCTATGCAGGGTATTCTATTAAAAAGAAAAGAATATATATATATATATATAACATTTGTTAAACTTTTCTAATTTCCAATATCTAGTTATTAATTTATTTATTACACCTTAATTGAAATATTAGTTTTGCATTTGACTAATTCCCTCCTGGATTAACAGTTGCAGGCAACATACTGAATGCAATACTGGATCCAATACTGATATTTTTCTGTGGTTTTGGCACTGGTGGTGCTGCAGTATCTACTGTGATTTCTGAGTACGTCAGTAATGTGATAACTTAAGATACCAGGGTCAGATAATATATTGTAATTTCAGTAAGTTCCATTGATATTTTGCTTCTGATATTTATTTCTTCTCTACTCACCAGATATTTGATTGCTTCTATCCTTCTATTGCAATTGAATGGAAAGGTTGTCCTGATCTCTCCAGGTATTGATGGGAGAAGAGTGGCACGATACCTAAAATCTGGTATGTTGGCTTTGCCAGATAATCATTGTTACATTTAATTTATTCTCAGTTTTTCAATTCTAGGACTCCTATTAATATGCCAAAGTGCAGTCAATAGTCCATCTAAAGGCACTGTTATGGTTACTAATACCAACCCACAAATGTTTTACCAAGCTTTACTGAATATGATCAATTTGTACGCACATGTAATCATAGACTCAGACAATGCTTTGATTTTTCTTTGACACAGCAAATCATATGGATTACCTTCATTATATTACTAGCTCTTTTCCGATAGTTAAACTATACATTTGAATGTAAGCAACTTGAAATATACTACAAATCCTTCATTGCCTTGCTATATTAGCTCTAAGTTCTAACACATATCTGCAGGTGGACTCCTTATTGGAAGGACCATAGCATCGCTTGGAACTCTGACCCTGTCAACTTCACTGGCAGCTAGGCAGGGCCCTGTGCCTATGGCTGGTCATCAAATTTGCATACAAGTCTGGCTGGCAGTGTCCCTGCTTACTGATGCTTTAGCACTTGCTGGTCAGGTAAATGGTTTAAACTTCAGTGCAGTGCATTCCTACACTTTTTTAATTATACAGTTGCACAAAATGGATAGGACAAAAAAATATCTCGGTGGCATCATAGAAGGTCAGCTAAGCTCAGTAAATTGCAATTTGCTGGCCTGCTAAAAACCAAGATGAAAATTTTGGTTATGGCCTTCTATCTTGCTGGGTTGAAACCATAAGGTTACTTTTGTTTGGTCATCGTTGTTTTGATTCTCACAGGCTCTTCTAGCTGCTGGTTACTCCCAAGGGAATTATAAACAAGCTCGCCTAGTAATTTACAAAGTTCTACAGGTTTGTAGCCATAACTACTCCATTTGTTTTTCCTTTGATCTCTTTCCCTTGTATACTGATCCAGTTCATTTTGCTGCCACTTGAGTTTCTATTAGTTAGGTCTAGCTACAGGAGTGGGTTTGGGTGTTCTCTTATTTCTTGGATTTGGAGCATTTGCTAATCTATTTAGCACAGATTCAGAAGTTTTAGATATTGCTTGGTCTGGTACTTTGGTGAGTAACTACCTTTTTAGCCGGTAAAGGCATAGAACTTTTCTGATTGTTGGTCATACAGAAATGCCTTGGCTTTCTTGGACATGCGTCATGTGTATCATAATTGCACCTTTTAACTGGTATCATAATGACTGAGCAATGACACACATCCTACCTTGCAGTTTGTTGCTGGATCCCAGCCAGTGAATGCCATTGCATTTGTTCTTGACGGGCTCTACTATGGTGTTTCAGACTTTGGATATGCCGCATACTCAATGGTTTGACAATGTCCTCTCCAAATGGCTTTGTTCCAAGTGTATGTCATTATCCTTTCTCAGCTCCGTATTTGTGATTGATAGGTGGTAGTTGGGCTGACTTCCTGTGCATTCCTACTTGTTGCCGGTCCTACATTCAGTCTTCCTGAAGTCTGGACAGGGTTATTTTTCTTCATGGCCTTGCGTGTAGTTGCTGGAATTTGGAGGTAAACTAGTTTCTGATTTAGCATAATCAACCCTGCAAAATCTACCAGATCTTTCAATTATAACTTTAGATGTCTCATCAAATTTTGCAATGTTAAAGAAAATACTAAAATTTTTCTAGGTTGGGCTCAAGAAGTGGACCGTGGAAAATGATTTGGTCTGAAACAGAGCAAGAAAGTGGATAAGGCATGCCAAATCTTTCTAGCTGATATTGCTGTTGTCTGCTGAAGATGTTCAAAATATCCCAGCATCATGGATGCATGAGAAAGAGATAATAACAATAGTAAAAATCCAACTGAGCAACCATCGGCACTTGGGCCATATTACGTTAATTCCACAGAAGGCCTCTCTTTTTTGTTCAGTCTTTCTGGGGGCGATCAGATTAGAAGAACACACCGAGGTCAAAACTACATTGGAACGAGTACAACGTTCTCCCACACTAGACCGGCACTGTTGCTTGTTTAGAGGTAGTTGTATATATCATTCATAATTTCCCTTAACAGCGCCTTTTTGTTTAATTACAAAGAAATATTAAATACACTATAATGTTTTTAAGAATTTTCTTGCGAAAATTAGCAGCTTCAGATATATTTAGAACATTCATTCTTTATACAGAACTGTTGTGTTTTTAAAGGATTCTCGAATTGTAGGACAAGAAGAAGCATTTAATGGAACATGAAACATCAGCTAAATATTCAATTTTCATACCAATGCAACAAATAACATCTTCTGAATAGGATAAATAATAAAGAAAGATTAACAGGATACAAGAAAGGTAAAACGAACACAACTGAAGATCACAGACTTACAAGAATACTAAATCAGGGGCCATATATCCCAAGATGCTGACTCTTCTACAGAGTCCTGAAGATAAAAATCAAAGTTGTAATCCATACTCAAGTCTGTGTCTGTCCCTAAACTATTTAAGGAAGCTTGCCCTGGTGGTTTGGCCTTCGGGTTCTCCAGAGTTGATGCTTCACCAGAGTGCCAAGCAGTGGCTGGATAGTAGTATGTAGAAGAGAGCTCAAATTGATCAAAGTCACAATGTTGCTGTGGTCTTAATGAGAAATTTTCATTTCCAACTATTTCAAAGGGCTTGATATCAGCTGATTCTCCTATTAAACAACCATGTACATATTCGATGCTATTACAAGGTTTTAGTTCACACTTTGAATAATTCATGCAATCTTTTTCACCTTTGGAACCACCATGGCAACTCGACTCCATGTCCCTTGAAGGCTCAAACTCTGTCTTCTCTCTCTTTAAGGTTGTTGGAACTTCAAAATGTACAGAATCATTGTAACTGAAGTCTTTGGTCTCTTTTTCTGTTCCATTACCCAACATCTCCACTTCAGAACATTCAGGTTTTTTGTCACCCAAGCCAACACTCTCTGAAGTTGAAGTCAAGTCCGTGGATGATGTTCTGTTAGCAGCAGAAGGTGAATCTTTGTTAGAGCAATTAGGGAAGTTGAGGCGAGCATATGGACCGTACATAGCTTTGGCAGCCTCATCATAAGCGTGAGCAGCTTCAATGGGATTAGAAAACGTCCCCAGCCACAGCCTATTCCCCTTAGTCGGTGGTCTTCCACGGTGGATGATGGGCTCTCGAATTTCAGCCACCCACTTCCCCCATAACCTCTGCCTTACGCCTCTGTACTTATAACTTGAGTTCTCTGGTCCCCCTTTCCCTCTCATGCACCCCTTCTTGGAGCCTTTGGCCGGAACCTTACCCACCCTCGTGAAACCATCTTCTCCACCAGAATCAGCTTTGTTGTTCCCGTTGAACTCCCTCCACTTGTCAAGTACATCTTGCACTGATTCACCACCGATGCGCCTCTTCTCGCTACCACTAGCGGGGTCGTCGCCAGGGCTCTGTTTGCGCTTGTTATTCTTAGAAGAAGAATTCATAACCACTCGAAGTAGCTTTCTTTCTATAGTAAAATCTTTACCACACAACAAGGCAAAGATAAGGAAAAGAGTAAGCAGAAATGAGAAATGGGAAAGGGAAGAAAGAATCTCAGATTGCAGCACACGTTGTGGTTGCAAGTTTTGAGACGTTGTTAGCTTGCAGTGAGGTTTATCTCCAAGTTCATTTTGTGTTTGACTTGGACATCAAGAAAGGCGACGGCGGAAGGATGATGTAATTGCTAGGAAATTCGTGTTCAAACTGAAAACGTATTCGGTAATCCGGAGATAACTCATGACATACGTAAAATGTGTATACGTGGTCAACCCCCAACCGAGCAGGCTGCATCATTTTCTTGGGCAAGAAGACTTGTGCTTTTTCATTTCCCCGTAAAGCCAATATAATATTCTATAACTTTGACCTTTTGACCGGGATTTGATTTATTTACGGAAATACGGACATCTTCCGAGTTGGAAGTTTCCCAATCGGAACTGGGAAAGAAATTGTGCCCTGACTTAAATATTTCCTGCTAAGTTTAGGTTTTTTTTTTTTTTGGGGTCTAATAAAATTAAAAAATAATAATTTATTAATAAAATTTTACATTTATTTTTAATTAAATATTACCTAAATAAATTTTTTATTTAATATATATTATAATTATCTTTTAAAATAAAGTAAAATAAGATTAAATACATTAAATAACATCTTAAAAAAACTAAATTTAAACATTTCAAATAAGAAACTAAATTTATTAAAAATGAATAGAGTGGATATATTTTTTCTCTTAATAAATCTTTTGTTTAACGATATTTTGTGCAGAGCTTTTTTAAATA